ATTGATAATTTTTAGGTCCTGATTTAATTAACTTGAATCTCATAAATAATTACTATTAACCATGTATTTCCATCTGTAACTAAGTATGTTTTACCTTTCTGTTTAGTAGTGGTTTGATAATTTTCTGACCAAGATGAACTGTACACACTCCTATGGCACACATGGTTATATTTATGACTGATATGTAAATGCAAATTTTATCCTTAGATGCATCTTGATAAGCACTTATGTCATCAACAACAATCAATCAACCTTCTTTAAAGGGTTTCAGTTATGTGAATTTTTTTTTCTTCTGAAAATTAATTTTCTGGCTTTTTGCACTACTCTTGTATATTAGGTGATGTTCCAAGTTCTACTGGAAAATTTGTTCTTTTTATCCACAAAGTTGTGAGGTTTGCACGTCTTTCTTTACCATGAGAGCACCTACTGCTAGCTTGTAGGTGGAGATTAGTTTAGTTCTTATGAATATCATTATCTTTTACATGTTTTAAAGTCTTGGGTCTCTCTATCCATTGCTGAATGGTTTTGGGTTGGATAACTTCAACCTTTAAGATGTTGGATTTTAATAAGTTATACTTAGTACTCTTTTTGTTGAAATTTGTTCATATACCATATTTTCTTCTTTGAGCGAGTGGAGTTCTGTAGCAATCTCTTTGACTTAGCTTTTTGGGGTGATACGGATTTTATAGGTGATTCGTTTCCCTTCAGGGAGGACAAAGGGTTTTGGGGTCAATTTAGTCTGTATGTGTCTGGATGTGGGATTTTCTCTCATTGAAGCTTAACCTGAAACCCCACTTCCTTTCTATGCAGAGCAACAAGAACACTTGAAAGTGATTTATGACAAATTCAAGGAACAGGTCAATCAGCATCTTCAAGATTGCAGAAGCACACTTGAAGGGCTGGAAGTGTACCAGACAGAGTTTAAGGGAACCGTGGAAAAGCAAAGTATGACAGCTTCTCTATATTTAGATCCTTATAATCCTCTTTGTGTCAATTCTTCACTGAAATGTGTTTGTATAGGTGTTATATCATGTCAACCAAGATTGCCCATAAATGATACTTTCAAGAAGCTAAATGATACATATACAAGATTCCAAATAATTGTTTAATATGGTGACATCTCCATAATCACGGGTAGAAACATATCCTGCTCTTGAACCCCATGCAAAACTCAATGGAGAGATTAATTTTCTCTTCACAAAAATTCCATGCATCCTATGCCTTGCTTGGTAGATGCTCTGCTTGCATGGCGGCATTGTGTCATGCAGCAAAAATCAGAATTGAACCCAGACCGTACTGTGAAAGGCTATGATCTTTATTTTAAAAACTACATAAAAGCAGTTTCCTTAGATGAACTAAAATTGTTTGCATTCTCATTGTAAACAAACAATGTGCAAAATTCTGGTATACTCTTTTGATTCGGTTTTACTTACAGGAGCATCACACAGAAAGCTTCTGTTACAAGTGGAAGAAGCAATTGAGACTCAACTCAATGATGCCCAAAGAAGAATCCAAGTCATGCAAGAGGCAAGTTTTCCTTCTGATTATATAAATTTATTGTTGAGTTTCATACAATTATTTGCATACTGTAATCTTGGTATAAAGCTATGATGCAGTGGTATGCATATATAGGTGGAGTGGTTGCATATGGTGGTTGGAAAACTCCAATCCAAGCACTTCAGTCAATGGACCTTATTAGAACAGAACCTGTGAATTAGTTGCTATTTTTCTTTATTATATTTTCTGACAACACAGCAGAGATTATCTTGTAAACTTTTTTTCACTGTACTGTAGAGTTTGAGGTCGTAGTTGAGTTAAGATGTTTAAAACTGTAATCATTTTGTAATACTCGTCTGTCATCTTGCTCTCTTTACTTAGATAATGCTCAACTCAGGTTTCTACTAAAACATATCTTTTTGTTCTCACCAATTGCAGATGGGACGTGGGAAGATGCTCCAGTTGAAACACGAACTGGCTTTGTGTTTGAAAGAGGGTATTCTAAGTTGATTACAAGGTGTAAAGCTCACTTGAAAGATAGGACTTTGCTTAGAGATAGAGACAGGCTCCAAGTTTGCTTCTTGCAAGTCTTGAAAGTAACACATTGGTCCCTAATCACATTTACTGCTTAGAAATATCAGTAATCTCTATCTTTGGTTTTGTTGTAACATGTTTGTATAGTTGAACATGGAGTAAGGAAAGCAAAGGGAGGACTTATTTCCTTTTTTTTTTTTTGTGGCAGATCCAGGAAGCCCGTAGCACATTTAGGCTACTCTACCTTGCATGTAAAGGAATAGCATTGTTTTGCTATCCTCAACCCAACCAGTCAAATTTCACTATTTAGAGAAGTTATCACGCGTGGTGGAACATGATTGATTGGGGATGGTGAAATCGTGTTATTCTTGTAATGTGCAAGTTTCTCTCTACCTTCGGCTATGTAAGGAAAAAAAAAGGGGGGTTTTGCATTGGTCACGTGAAAAAAGATCTGTACCACATCATGACTTAACAGTCTGTTGGCAGATTAATTTTTTTCTTTTAAGAAAATAACACTTATTTTAGCTACATCAATCCTTTAAGATTCAATGACTTGCTTGCTAAATCGACTTCTCGTGTCATACTACGTGTTTTTTTTTTGGTCAGGGAATACTATTCATTAATAGTGGGAAACATTACAAATTGAGAACACTCATTTCCAATGCAGCCCAATACCAACACATATAGCAGGCCCAAGGATAGATAACCAAATAAACAACAAAAGCCCAGAAAATATTAAACAAAGAAACCCTAGATCTAGAACACAAGAGTAGCTACCCATAGCATGCCAACAACATCACCAGAAACAGATCTGCCACCACCAAGGAGGAGTAACCGACACCAGGGGGTATCAAAGAGGCCAACGTAAGATGGGGGTGAGCAGGCCACCCGTGCAGAAGCGCTCCCATAATCCAAGTGTGAAGTGCAAGATGCATTTTAATCGCAGCCACGGACCACCACACACCACTGAGGAAGAACAACATGAGCGGTGAACGAGGAACCGAGGAGCAAACGGTGGTAGTTAAGAACAAATGCCTAGATGAAGTTGCTGGCCATGGATGGACAACATCACTACATAGAAGATATGAGGAGAGTGTAGATGTAAGAAGTAGAGGTGAAAAGTGAAGGTGGCTGGGGATGAAAGGAGATGGAGAGATGGGAGATAAAGGGTCTCATAGAGTAGGCTTAACTTGAGGAAAAAAAAAAACTAAAAGAAACCGAAGTGGAGGCAAGAAGCCCCAGATCTGAGACAAAGCTTAGGGGAAAAACACCCATTTTGGGTGGGGACCACAAAGGGTGAGGCAAAATCACCACGGATGGTGAGGAGGAAACAGTAAAAGAAAGAGGGAAACAAGGAGAGATAAACAGAGAGAAAGGAATAGGAGGGAAAAGGAGGAAGGAGAAAAAAAGAGGAAGAAGAGGGGAGGGGAGGAGGGGCAAAAACGGTGCTGAACGTGTCATACTTCGTGTAAAGACCCAAATCAAAACACTCGAGTTGGGGAGATAAACCCAACAAAACAAACATAAATGATTTCGACCAAAAAAAAAAAAAACCATAAGGCCCAGTTTAGTTCATGGGAAATGAGACTTGGGAATGAGAATTCAATTGCTTTCCCATATTTGGTAAGTCCAGACATGGGAAATAGTTGCCTGGTACATGGGAAAGTATGGGGGAAAGTGAAGCCCTCCTCTTAACTTGAGTTTTGTTTTCCCTCCTCATGGGAAAGTTTGGGAAAATGAGCCAACATTCAATGCACAATTTTCATGACTATTTTGTCCCTATGAACAATTTATAATTACAACGTATCATTAAATGCATTTTTTTTATTTGATTTAATATGGGTATAATTAGAAAATTATACAAACTTTGTTTTCCATTCCTACTCAAAACAAACATGGAAAAGGAAACAAAGTGAAATATCCCGGTTACTTTCCCGACATTACCAAACATAGGAAATGAATCTTTTATTCCCATTCATTGAGAAACGACGGGCATGTTTACGTATCAGTAATGGAGAAAATAAGAAATCAGAGAATTTAGGAATCAGAGAAGTATTGAATTGGTGTGGAAAGAATCATTATCATTAAGCTGTTTACTAAATATATGGAATTAGCAAAGGAATGAGGTTGATTCCCATTGTTATTGTTTACTAATTTTTATGAATCAGAATCCAAATTAATTTGATTACTAAAATGCCATGCACATTTTCACCACAACATATATATAATTCTCAAATTGGCTAAGGAGACAAAACTAATCATGCGGCAAACTAGTAAGGCAGTGTAAACATGAGGAATCAATATGCTAAACAAGATGAACAACAAGAGCCAAATTCAATGATAATTTTAATAACACATTTGTCCAGAGCCAATTTCAAACCAAAAAAAAAAAAACTCCAATAACGCCTTGGAGCGTGTTTGAACTTCTTGGCATGAGTTTTTATTTATTTATTTTTTGGGGGTTTCACTAAAACACCCAAAATGGGGGCTGAAATTATAAAAAAACCCAACACCCAAAACACTTTATAAACATACCCAAAACCCATCATTACACACACTCAAAACCCATTTATAAACACACCCAAAAAATAAACAATTGTTGATTTTGGGGTTGCTTTTGGGTGTGTTTATATGTTTAAATAGTGTTTGGGTTTTTTTATAAATACATGTCTATAATTGGATTTATTTATAAATTTGTATTATTTTTTTTCTTCCAGGGTTTGGGGTGTTTTGGAATTATGGTAAAGTGGTAAGGATATTTTTGGAAGTTACTAAGGAAAACAGGAATGAGAATCATATCGATTACCTCCCCCTAGTTGATCTGATACCTAGTTTTGAGGGAATGTGATTACGGATTTTGAGGTAGGGTCCACTTATTTTTTTCATTATTGATTGCAAGTAAATGGAGCGGAAGTCAGGAATGGAAATCATTCCCTTTTCTCCCATACCCATTACTGATATGTAAACATGCCCAGCATGTAAAGTGATTTCCCGTCAAATCCATACCGTGTACCAAACGGGGCCTAAATGCTGGAAAGAGGTGGTAAGTTGGAATTGTCCTCCCGTTTTTTAAAATCCCGCGAGGAGACTGTAACCGGCTAACTGGCAGGCAGACAAGCGACGACATCTATGATATTCGTTGGTTAGGTTTTGTTTGAACCCGGTTCTGGAGAAGGAAGCAAGCAAGCAGCGCAGTCTGCAGAGAGTGAAAAAGATGGAAGAGAGTGAGAGAGTGAGGGAGGTGATAAGGAAACAAGTGGGAGATGATTGGGATGATGAGGTGATGAGCAGAGCCCGATTCAAGGCGTTGAGTGGCCAGAGATCCGACTGGGAACCCAATTACCTCTTCTGGAGAGATTTAATTCTCAGCGTTGCTCGCCAACTGGGCCTTTTCATCATCAAACCATCTCACCTCAACAACCAATGGTTCAATCGAGGAGGCCTCACCCCATTATCCCTCGACCGTGTCTTGGTATATTTTTTTCCCCTTTTCATCCTCATCCTTCACTCTTTTTCTTTTTGGTCAATAATATAAATTTCTTCATTCATTCTCTCTCTTATTTCAGTTTGAAATGTATAATGAAGGTGAGATTGTGCTGCCCAGCGTGGATCTTGTGGACCCCACTGCAGGGCGTCTCTCCCAGGCTTTCACAAGACTTACCAACTCCATGATTAGGAGGAGCAGGACCACCACTCCTCAACTTCTTATGTCCCAGGATCGTCTCATTCTTACATCACTTTTGAAGGTGGCATGTATTTTCCAAATAAAATTTGTAGTCTAATATCTTAGTTTCTGTGTGCCCCATGCTTATTCTTCTTGGTTAATTTTGTTTTGCTATTTTCGTATGTGTAGGATAAAGCTGTTGAAGTTGTGAAACTTTTATCCGAATGTCATTGGACATCTTCTTGCATTGTCACCATGAAGAGGTTCCAGGACATATGTGGAGGAGCCTATGAAGCTTCTGCACTCTTGTCTCACTTGTCAGCACAAGGGAAGGCACGCTATCTCTCACTTTACAAGGGAGACTTCATAGAGGTAGTACTACTTCTCTTATGCTTCTGTCACAATCATGCACAATCGATTTGTTTTGTTCAATATGCAAATGAGGGAGGCCTTCAACTACCTGTCACTCTTATGGATTGATTTGTCAACCAGAAGGACAAGTAACAAATTCATGAAATAAACTGCCCTAATAGAAAAGCAGCCTAGAAAGTTGCAAATAAACTACGTGAATCATTCTTCTGTAGTCATTTTTCATATGATCATATAAGTTGAGATGTTGAGTGTACTAGTTACAGTATCCAAGTGTCCCGGTTAATCTAAGATTTGTTTTGTTTGGTCATTTTTCATTTTCAGGGTGTGAAAGTTTCCCTCTCTGCATCTTCCGTTCCTAGTATTTCAAGTCTAGATTGCGATGTTCTGCACCTGATTTGTACAACAGAAAAGCTTCAACAACAGCTTAATGTGATTGACCAACGTTGTCAAACGTACCTATTTCTCACTCTCAATACTTCCTTTATATGCATGCTGCACTTTCTTGCTTTCTTGTTTGAGCATCAAAGACCATAGTTTCATAGATCCCAATCAACCTTGCTCACACCCAATTTTCAATCAATGGAGACAATGACATCTATGTTCAGAGCACTAATAAGGAATTGGGCTTTGTGAATGGTTTCTGAGATGAACTCTGCTGTTCCATGATGGCTGTGATAGGGTGTGTTATCATAAAATTTAAGTGTTGTCATTGCTTAACTTATTTGAGATATCTGGCTTGTGCCGGCTGGTTGAAGGTTTGGTTGGCACTGTTAACCATGGACAACCAGAAGAGATTAGTTAGTTGGTCACAGATATGTTGGGAGTAGAATCATTAGAAAGATACGTTATAGTCTTCTATGCTCTCTTCATTTGGAGCTGTGTTCTTATGTGGATAAGGGATGCCTAGGTCTCCAAACAAGTGTGTATGTCCTCGGGAGTTGGGGTTGATAATATTTCATGTGCAGGTCAAGAAAATCAGCATTAGCTTGTTTGAATTCTGGAAACAAGAAAGTGGCGCTGAGGCATGTGAGGCAGTTAAAGTTGGCCAATGAGAGTAGAGAAAATTGTGCAACGCTCTTGAATAGAGTGGAGGAAGTCCTCGATGTTATTGCAAGTGCTGAATCCACAAAGAAGGTAATTTTAGGAGTGAAGATAATCTTTTATATTAGCTTTTAAATAAATGAAGAAAAAAAAATTGAACTGTGGAAATCTTCAGTAAGCTGATCCAATTTGGCTTGTTGGCAGGTTTCTGAAGCCATCCAAATTGGAGCTCAAGCAATAAAGGAAAATAAGATGAGTGTGGAAGAAGTCCAACATAGCTTACAAGAAATTGAGGAGAGCATTGATACACAAAAGCAAATAGAAAATGCTTTAGGTAATTCCTATTCTTGATTTAAATTGAATTAAGCTGTGTGAGTTGTTGTGGTGCAGGATTTGTAATGCAGACAATGCTTTTTGTTATCGTATCCAATTTGATGTCTTTGGATTTTGCAGAATCAACTTCGTTGTACACAGTTGTTGAGGATGAAGAAAGTATTGAAGAGGAGTTCAAGAAATTAGAGCTGGATATTGAGGTTAACAGCGCAGGAGAAACAGAGGCTTCGAAATCCGCTGAATCATTGATAGACTCCTTATCAAATCTCAAGCTTGTGGATGATGGTCTAGCAAGAACACCAGCAGTTCAGGGCACTGTCGAAACAATAAGAAACAACAAAACAAAAACTCCTGTGCTTGAAACTGCCTAAAAGTTCCCAGATCCCAGAATCATATTGTGATGATTTTGCTCAAATGGTGAGTATAGTCAAATCACTAAACTAGTTCGTTGTATAGTTTTCTCTTTTCTGTATAAGTGAAAAAACGAGTTCCTTGTATAGTTTTCTGCATAAGTAAAACCCTTGTAACTGAACAAAAAGCCTTGCATTGCAATAGCCATTTTCAAAGACATCAAAATTAACCCTATAAATGACCGAGTCAATTTTGTAAATGGACGACTTCGGATCAGGGAAGAGTGGCATTTTCCCCTTAACTGGTGCTCAATATGGCACATAAAACTTCACATCGGATTCTATTGTCCCTTCCTGTATGGGTTTGAGTGGATCCCCTCCTTATATGCCTTTGTATTTGTATTTTTGTCTTCGGTTTAATAACTTCAGAGTAAATTGTTGACACGAAATTGAACAATTGGTCGTACGCCTGGTCCAATCCTGCCAATACAACTCGTTTTGACTTAGTCATAGGGCCTTGGTAGGAGGACACTTCAACCTCGTTTGTTAGGGAGGAAGACTGGACTAGACTAGACTAGCAAAATGCCTACATTTTATGTGTAATCAAGGTATAATATGAATATTATTGTCTAATTTAGAGGATGAAGGACTATTCATAAGAGGTTGATGACTAAAACTTATTCCCAATCCTTTTGAAAACAGTGAGATTATGAGGAATAAGTTTTAGTTATCAACCTCTTATAGATAGTCCTCATTCTTCCTTCAAGTTAGGCAATATATCCATATTATGCATTGAATACACAGAAAATGTAGACATTTTGCTAGTCTAGTCCAGTACTCCCTATCAAACAAGCCCAAGAGTATTGTGGTGTCGGCCGGTAAATTGGCTCATCTTTGATCCTCTCTTCTTCTTCATCGTTATTATTATTATTACTATTATTTGCCCCTTTTTCTTTTCGCTCTCTTTACCCAGAACGTATAAAAACTTCTCCTCTTTAAGAAGGCTCTCTATCTGGCTCCTCTAGGGTTTTGGTGGCTGCTACATGGTTTCTAAATCCAAACGTTGAACAAAAACCATGATATGCCTAGATTTGATTGGATAAAGGTTTTCTAATATAGCCTGCACGTGACAACGCATGAACAGTGTTTTTTTTCTCTCTCTTCTCAAACTGCCATAAATTTCATTCGAATCATCGATAGTCTCTTTTGGCATTTGAGATTGAGTCTTTGGCCTCAAAACGAAAGTGACAAAATGTTGACTTCAAGAGCTTGTATCATATTATAAACGACGAAAACACAGACACATGTCATCAAAATTGAATAAGCAAATTATTTTCTATAATAAAAAAGGGAACATATTTGAGCCGGAAAACTTGTATGAAACAGAGATAGCATTGTTTTGTTATTTCTGGCCAATCACAGACTGCCACTTGAAAAAATTATCATGCGTGACATACTGTGATTGATCGGAGATAGCAAAATAGTTTCATCCCTGTTTCATGGAAAGTGTTTCTCCCATTTGAGGTTGCAATCCACAAGAATTCTATAGTGATGGCCTTATATATGACCTTTAGATGAGACATTATCTCTTAATCAAATTAATTAGAGCATCTCCAACCGATGTGTCAAACAAGCCACATTGACATTTAACAACTAGAAATAACATTTTACATCACTCCAACCGATATGTCAAATCTGATGTGGAATGAAGGCCGGAGGTTGAGATGTTATTTTTGACATCCCAAAAGCAAGATGTCAAATGAATATTTTATTATTTTTTCTTTTATTTTCTTGTTAATTAAAAATGAATCAACACTAAAATGTAATAAAATAATAATTTAATTTGACATATCGGGTGGAGTATAAAGCTGTGTAAGATGTCAAATTGCCACATCAGTCATCAAATTTAAATTTAATGTTTGGTATTTGACATCTTTCTTGAAGATACTTTTAGCATAATTCAACGATTAAGAAATAAAATCTCACCTAAAAACGATATATGCGATATATAACACCTTCATTATAGAATGACTCATCCAGTTGAATTGAATCTATGGCAATAAAATGGGGCCCCAGTAGATTATTATAGATGGCCATTGGCTCCATTGTTGAAGAAGGTGCGAGCCATCCAATCGCCACGAACTCTGTGAGGGCCTCATCAACACACGTTGTGTTTGGAGCCTTGTTATTATCATATCATATCATGGGCAATGGGCCATCGGAGAGGAGACCATGATGCGACACGTGTAAGAAACCCGATTGGGCATCAGAATGACTACACTGACACAACACAGCAGCTGTCGTTTGCCAGAGGTGGCTTCACAATCAGAAAGGTGACCGGTCAAATGAAGGGAAGGGATCAACGGTCGTTGAACGGCAGTTAGACGAGAAGTGTATTGATTAATAAAAACAAATTTGGTCGGATTTAATTGATTGATTAAATAGTTAATTAATAATTAATGTTAAGCTTAAGATAGAACGCATTCCCAATTCCCAGGGTTGGCAAAAGAAATGATAATCTAATGTTAATGAGGAAGGAAAAGCAGTAGGTGTGAAGGTAGAATCCTCGTTGGGAAGTTGTGAGCACATAGTAGCTATAGGTAGGGATGAGGAAATTTGACCGTTTGAGGTTGGGGTCAGCCTCAGCACAGCACAAGTGTTGTGTTGGGGTTCTGGGATGAGTGCCATCTGGCTATGACTGGTATCCATTCCCACCCATCGTCCGATGGGCCCATAACTCATAACATGCTTTTCATAGTTTGACTCCTTGCGGGAAAGTGAGTATTAGGAAAAGCATTTTTGGAATGAAAACGCGGACACCTGTCTCTCGTCCCTGTTAAACGCGGTTTGCATTACATCATAG